ATACATGCCAAGGTTTCCTTTTAATAGCGCGTACGTTTCATAAAATCAAACCATCTAGTAGTTAGCAGTGCCACTATCTATAGGTAAGTAACAAAAGAAAATTTATTATAGTAACAAATTGACATATTTTTTTTTAAATTTATTTGGCAAAATTTTTCTATTACTCACATGAAACTAATTCTGCTGTAGCATTGGATAAATTGAAAAATTATTTATAATAGCAGAATTTAGTTAGTTTCTTCTAAAATATGCAATAGCAATAATAATTTTACACACATACAGAGGCCGCGATTTTTATTTTTTCATATTTTTGTCATATACCTATATATTTAGAATAATTAGAATTAAAGGTAAGTAGGCGTATAATATAATAAATAAGTATATAAGATATATAATATAATCATATATATTAAGATTACCTGCAACAGATTTACAGATTGTTATTTAAATATATGTATTTATTTTTTAAATAAAATAACACGTCTCACGTCTATCACGGTTCACGATATTTTCACAGTAAACCTTTAATTATATGAATAAACATTTCAAAATACTTCTAAAGCAATCGTGGACAAAGCGCTTTGTTAACAAAGTTGCAGCAAGAACTGGCAACAAAGCGAAGCATGAATGAAGTTCGTCAACCTCCTGTTCGAGTCATATCTTTGTCACTGCACAACGCCTTAGTGCAATCAAACCTATCTACACCGCATCGTAGGAACGAATGGTTGCCTATAACACAGTGCGTAACGCCTTAGCATCTGCTTATCACACACGTCTCTATATATAAATAAATATTTCAAATTTATTTATATACATTTATGTAAAATATTATTTTTCAACATTACTTTAGTAATACAAAATTTTTACGTTCTTCGCTCTTTATTTAAATGGTATCATATTTCACAAAAAAATAAAAATATCTTTTCTTTAACTACATTTGATTAAATGAGATTTCTTTAATTTAAGTAAGAAATATTATAAAGCAAAAAATCGTTTGATGTCTGTATTAATAATAATTTACAGCTCGATTTTTATCAAAGATAAGCTTTTCATATTAAAAAAAAGAATTAAAGAAGAATGTAATAATTAAGGTAAAAGTATATAGTTTTTTGTTTAGCACATATATATAAGACCCCGTTTAATCCATTTCAGTGCTATTTGTCTCAACTCGTTTTCTTAAGTACAGTCAGTAATTCTCGAAAAGAAGATGGTTCGTGATGATGAGAAAATGCCATCTCAGGCACGCTCGTACTCAAGGATCCTTTGAGATTAAGCATTTTTCTTTTTAACAAAAATTGTATATCAGCATCTTCTTCAAATACCAATTCACGTTTATCACTAATTTTAAAGAGAAAGAATCTGTCATTAAGAACTCGAGAATAAAAATGCAACTTTTTAAGATAACTCTATCAATCGTTAGTATTTATTTTATATATATGTATCAAATAAAACCTATAAAACATGTTCCAAAATATGTTCCACACATATTAAATCGATATCAAATATCAATTTCTTTGTTTTTCATAGAAATCTATCAATTTTCTTTAATTAAATTTTTTTAATTGTAATAAAAAATTTTAAAAACCTCTTAAATCTTAATAAGTACTATTTATTAAATTTTAATATTTTATAATAAAACACTTTTGATTAAATTTTTTGACATCACATATGATCCACATGCTGTTTAAAGAAATTTACAAATTTTTCTACGTTTCTTTACGTTTATTCATTTTTGGAAAATTTTAATTTTATTTTTCTCCGTTATTGCAAGTGCACCGGTATGAACATTAAAACAAAGCACCACATACATTCTGCGTCTGCACGACAGTTTTACAGTATTACCAAGAACTGTCGTGAACGCTAGTATATGAAACCGCAAATCCATGCAAACCACGAGATATGGTTACAAAGTCGGCGTCGAGTTGATAAAACGCAAATCTACTCACTCGCTACGTGTAAATGTTCCATTAATTCTTGTTAGTACAAAAATAGCAAAATAAACAAAATACATTGGATTTTCAGTTCTTTGTTTTGTGAATTATATTATTTTAACAAATTTATATTTTTTATCAGTTATTTTATGTAATGTTTTTATCAAACAAAACTTATTCTTTGAGTATAGCACATAAATTGATAAATAAAAAGTAAAATGGCATCATAAAACCGTCACAAACAATAAAATTAATGATTTAATCCAATGTAGATAAATTGTTTCTCAAACGTCCATTTATCCAGCGATTTTCACACATCTGTCTTAATCTATAATTTCAACACATAAACAATTAAAATCGACGTTTTGAGCAATTTGAATATTGTTAGGAATTATTATAACTATTCACAATGCCTCAAAAAGCATATATATAAAATATATATACTTTTATGTATTGTTTCATACTGAAACGCATAGTTAAAGTCAATCATATAAAAATATTTCAAAATAACTGTTATTTATTATTCCTCGTATATCTTTTCAATATTTTTATATTTCTAAGAGCATGAATATACCGATATTTCATTATTAAGTAATATTATAATAATTGCATTCATGAATTTTACAATTAGGCTAATTTGACCAATAATAATTAACAATGGCTATATTCATAATCTACTAATTTTAAATTGAATTTATTTTGCACGACATTTTTTTTATAATTATGCAATTAATATTTATTTCGACATAAATATTTCCTTTACAAATTTTTTTTAGATTCTTAAAAAACAAACGTTTTCAGATTATTAAGTAATCAGTATACAATAAATAAAATATTAGAATTTATAATACACTAACAGTGTACCTACCATCTAAAGTTTTTAATTTAAAAAACTATCAACATATAGGTACATATAGTGTATATTCTAAAAATGACACACAAACAACCAGAAGGTAAAAAATGTAATGTATTATTAATATATGTATACTTCCGAAAAAAGAACGCTTCTCTATTGCAAATATAAAATATAATAGATTCAACAATGCACGTCTCTCATGAATTTCATCAACGACTAGACATGTTTTGCGTTACGATCAAAGGATAATGGCAAGATGGGAAAACACAAGATAGGAAAAAGAAGTACCACGGATAGTAGGAGTTTCCCTACGTTCCTCTCCTCTCCTCGACGATTTCGCATCCACCCGCTCCGAAAATCAATACGTGCCGGGTTACAACGGATCTGTCCGCGGAAAGAAAATAGATCTGCACAATAAAAACTAATATATATACAGTATACATATATATAATTGTGTTTCGTCATTCTCGAATTATAATCCTAAATTATAGAAAATTATAGAAAAAAAAAGAGTTGTGGCATTCATTAAAATCAGAAAATAATTAATAATATCTTTGCCACTGATTTGGTTAATTTAGTCAAATAGTAAAAATATTAGAGTAACAAAATTATAACTAACTGAATCAGTCAATGTGTGAGCAGTACTAAATCAAATGTAAAATACTGAAAAATTGAAACAGAGCAAATAAAACTGTTCATGTACCAGAGTTAGTACGGTACGTTTCTTGTTTGTAGAATAGCCATTCACACTATTTCCGTAAGTAACACATACCTTATTTAATACACGTTTGTGTTGTTGCTAAATAATACTACCTTTACGTAATACTAAAGTTTTCAATGAATAAACATGAATAGTACGAGAAAACTAGAGGCAAAATGTATCATTCAAATTGTGAAATAAAACAAACAAGCGCGAGCACTGCCGACATTTCAATTTCAGCAGGCATGAAAATTTTGTAATATGCGGCATGGAAAAAGCAGGAGCAAACCAATATCCAATACACGTATTGCACTCTCGAAAGAAAACTAACCGCAGGTCATTTCGACATATAAATTCAAATAGTTTCCGTAACGCATTCACGCTTTCTGTTCATCTCATTGTTATACCGATCGTATCTGCCAGGGGAATTTTATCATAAATCTCGCTAGAGACAATCGACGTAAAATATGTTACAAATTGTCGGCACAGTGATTTTACCGTCACTCACTATTTATGTGTACGTCTGGTTTAAAAAACTAAAACTATATTTTAATGAATTACTTCATGAAATGTATGATGTGATGAATGTATGATCAGATAATAAGTGTTTCAATGAATGTCATCAACAATTTAGAGATGTCAAAAGATAAACGTATACGTATATAAGATTAAATGCCATTTCTTAAAAAAAAAAAAATGGCAGGAATGATAATTTAAGTTATAAAAGATTAAAAATCTATTATGTATATTTTTACCATTTTATAAATTGCAGAAACTGTACGTGTACTATATTATATATATAATAAACTTACTAATTTTTTAAATACATTTTCTTACAGAAAAATATAATTCTTAAAGAAAAATATATTCAAACAATTAATAAGTTTATTATACATTTTCATTTATACATGTATAATAGCTACAAACAACTAATGCCTTTAACGATTCTACTTCTGAATTCTCTTCGGTTTCATTCATCTTGATCCCCTATCCCCTAGAGATATACTTGCGTCTACTTTATGACAAACGTAATAGTGCAACGATTTCAACGCAACTTTGAATAGAAACTAAATATCAGAACATTTTATAAAAAATATTATTAACATACAGATTAGCAAACTATAAATTCGATTCAATAATATAAAGTAAAATACAATATAAAGTTAATTATAATAATTAATTTTAATTTTTTATTTATTTCTTTTAATAGCAAGTATAATCATCTCGTTACAATAGAATTCTTATTTTTTTACATAATAATAATAATCTTTATCAAAATTATTACAAAATGTATGTGTAAATAATGGTTTACTAAAAATATAAAGCAGCAATTTACCAAAAACATAAAACGTTATTTGATAAATTTTTCATTTAAAAATCTTCCTTTAATTGCGAAAAATGTTATTTTCTTAATATAATATCGAGAAGAATATAAAAACTCTTACTTGAACAATGCGTGTGTTACAATCAGAAATTAGAAGAAATGTCCCTTTTTATTTTTTGGTTTGGCATATCCGGGACAGCGCGTACGCAGATCCCGACTATCAAAAATTGTGCGCTCGATATACCCGCGTTAGGGGTATTCGCAAGGGTCAGCCTCACCGTGGTGCAATGGCAAGGCCTCGCCCAGGAGGAACCGCCTTCATGATCACGGTTTCCTCCGCGCCAAGTAAGTTATAGAGCGAAGCTCCCGGATATCTGTTTTAATTGCACTCGTGGCTGTTTTTTGCATACGAGAAACTGTTTATCATTCGAAGTCCTCTAGCGGTCGCGATGCATTATCATTGCATCGGGATAAACAAAAAGTTGTCTAGCAACGATTGAATTCTATATATGACGTAAAATAACGAAAAGCCTTTCACGAAAATGATACGTTTGTTAATTTCCATATGGATAATTTGAAGCGACTTAAATCACATCATAAATAACCGGAGCAATGCTTGAGGTAATTCTATCAAGTTTAACATAACACTATGCATTCTATTTTGCTTCTATTTACATCTAATAGTCTTCCTGACTTATCCATATGTCATTGAAAATAGAACATCGCAAGAAGCCTAATAAATTTCTAAATTTAATTTAATTTGCGATAATTAAATTAACCAAAAATGATCCTAAACAGAATAATTATAAATCTCTGTATTGTTTAAATTATATGTAGTACATATTGCAGGGTTAAATTATATCTAAAAAATTCCTCGATTTTTATAACCTTCAAACTATATTGAAACTATTGAACATACAAACGCGTTTGCAGTAACATAAAATGTTACGGCATTTCTCTTCGCAAGTTCTCGAAATTAAGGAAATTATTTTCTTGTTGCATTTCTCGGTATTTTCGCGTAATTCTCGTAATGAGATAAACGGTTTACACAAAGTTCACGTCACGTAGTTTAACAGACAACGAATTCTCCGGGAAATATACCATTGCTAATTCACGTTCTCGTGCCGGAATATCATTTCGGTTGTGTTTTAATTGTACGAAAATAAATAAATAAGCTTGGAGAGTTGAAAGCTGTGACGCAGAAGGGACCAGCAAAACGCTGAACGAAAACGTAACGTGCTCGATCTGCCGTAAATATTTATAGAGCCACCAGGTCTTTATACCAATTAACAGAGTTTATTTACAATCTCACTTCTAGCGAGAATGAAAAAATTCCTTTCTTCTCGCATCCGTGTGTTAAATTTTGCTTTTATTTTAACAAAAAAGTAAATTATTTTGTAAATAGACCCTAAAACACATACTATTAATTGCTTTGTTAGAGATCAAATTCTTTCGAGTGTTTTGTATGCAATAACGCAATCATGCAGAGATCTCGATCATTTTTTATGGCATATTAATTACAAAGTAAAATATACATAAATAAGATAATATATCGAAGTAAGGAAATAATTATATCAAAATAAGGAAATTCGAGAACTCGTAAAGCCAATATAAAATATAATTACTTAAAAATGGTTTTTTAATGGTTCGAGACGATAGATGTTAGGATCGAGTTCTCTCGAGAAAGCTTCTCAAGTTTCCATACGTTTGCTGCGAAGTAACGTGGCAGAAGTAACGTTTGTATAATAGTCTCAACCATCATCTCTCGCGCGGGCGTCTATTGAATTTTCTCGATCCTTGTGAAAAGAAAAGTTTACCGGAAAATAGCGAAAGATTTGAAATGAAAGTTTTCGAGTCTCGATGCCCTGCAGAAAGAAAATTACTTGGTACATAATATGCACACAATATTACTCTTTCATTATAAGTAAAGTATTTTCTGTTGCGCGTATAAATGTACAAAATATATTTAAATAATATAAACGAAAGTACAAATAGAAGAAAAAATCAATAAAATAAAGATTCTTGAATATTTTAATAAAATAATATACCTCTTAACAATAGAAAGCAATAAATCTTCACATCACAACGACCAAAAAAGCTCATCCTCTCGATTCATATTAAAAAGATACCGTTAATAAGCATCAGTGAGGTTAGTTTCGAAAAAAAGGAAAGAGGAATATCTGATGTGAATTATGACTTAAATTAATTTAAGTCAAATATATTCGTAGACAATTGCGATGTTATGCAAGAAAGAAAATGGGGTAACCTTGCGATAATCCGCTGCGACTAGTCACGATTAATACTCAATGAGCGTACCCAACGAAGCGTAAATTTTCCCGCTGGGAAATAAACGATTTCAACAAATTCGCGAGCACGGCGGCCTTGAGACTCGTGACAATATAACTGCTTAAACATTCGTTGCCGAAGGTGGCAAGGTGTCTTCATTATTCAGTTTCGCCCCGCGCGCCCGCCTTTACTGTGCAACCTTAGAGACGGATGAATTTGCGTAATACCGGATCGCAAGCCAACAAGGTCAATGCTTTACGGAACACACGTTTGCGCCATTCCTCATAATGCTATCCGTCATAAAGACGACACATATTTTACTTTTTCTCGCACTATAAAGTGCGTGCCAAGAATTCAGAGATGAAAATACTTTGTGTGTATGTATATGTATGTATACATACGCATGTTCAAGCTATGAAGTATATAGAATACGTTAAATCATCTGCTACAATGTATGTATGTACACATGCGCACCTATTAAATCTGTGGTACTAAATCCCACTTCAGCATATTATCAAATCGATATTGCGGATTAAAGCCTGAAGCTTCATTCGCGTTGTCAAGTCGTGTCCGTTTGGTCAAAACTAAGTATATAAAATAATTTTTCAGTGCACTTTAAATATTGACACATATTTGTATTCCTTTCATTTCGCAAAAACCTTCCAATTTGAATTTCAATATATTTAATAATCGTTTGTAATTTATTCAAAGATATAGTATTATATGTATATGTATATCTCCTAGAATTTATTAATTATATTTTTTAGTTCGATTAATGATGTTTAAACAAATGATTTTTCCCTTCCTCAGTTTCTCTTTTTTTATTATTTCGAATTTTTTTTATTTAGTTTTCCTCGCAAAGTTTGTGTTTAAAACCAGTCAGATTTGCAAACGTTATTCTTCAATTATACTTAAAACAATATTGCGCAATATATGTGTCTATATCGTGGAGTACGGTGAAAAGTATAGTGAAACCGATTCGATTTCGGTTTACAGAATGTATGGCGCGATGCTGCGCCGCGTCAACACTAGAACTTGATATGCTGAGGCATGACGATTTAACCGTATAAAAGGGATATGTATATATATTCATCAAGCATTCCGCGCGATTATAAAGTTTCAGAAAAAAAAAACGTTCATGCACCGTTAAAATAAAAATGTCAGCAATTTTTGTGTTTCGTACTGCGTATAAAACGGCCTATGATATTGATTTATCGACAATTTGATGAACTTATGCGAGAAATGTTCGAGGCCATTCAGGAAGAGAAAAGGGAAAGAGGCAGAGACGCGGTCACCCCACGTAGCTCGGTTACCGTCACGCTCTTACGATTAGGCGGCAATGCGAGAATGCTTTTCGTTACGTAAACACGTAAGCGAACGTAAATGTATCATGTAGATACATATATACGTGGAGAAGCCCGTATTATTTTTCGCGAAACTCAGGTGACAGAGGGTGCTGCACCTTTCACCGTATTCTCCCCGGTGAAAACGATAACGAAGCCAGTCAAAAATTGCGACAAGTATTGTTCGGTTTGCAACGCCCGTTCAACATGTAGTGTTTCTCACGTCGGAAAATGTTCACGCAACGTTTTCGCATACTAACTGCGCGCACGGCGATACCAAATGTCGAATAATCGGTTCGCTATTTTTGGAAAGCAGTTATAAGTAGTCAAAAAGCACTCTTATCCACATCGGTAAAACCGTGTCGATTCGGTTAAATCCGGTTTAGATCCATATCGTCATCGATGTTTTCGAGTATTATAACGCGAAGGGTTATCGAGTTTCGAGAGCCGACGTATACCGAAACGCTGATACTGCATTATTGCAGCGTGCCGCGAATACCTGTGTCTTTTGACGCGGGTAACGTAGGAAGTACGACTGCAGTGAAAATAAATGTCACGAGTAAACATGCATGGAGATACTGCATCGCGTCGCGACTAACGTGGCTATGAAATTATCGCACACGCATACAACGGTATCTATCGTGCATCGTTTCAGCGAGGCGGATCGGTGCGAAATATTTCATTCTGTTTTCTCATATCGGGACTGCACAGGTATGTAAATAAGTGACTTCAAAAGAATTTATTAACTCTACTAAAATGCAGGCTGCTCGCTGGATAGCTTCTGTCCGCCGATCAAATAAAAAGTAAAATAATCATTGTCAATAATAAAATAAAGAAAGAAAAAAAAATACCAAATAATCATCGCACTTAATCCTCTGGCTACTACGCGCCACTATAGTGGCTTCCCTCTAAAGGCTCTTTTGTGACGAAATACCATTATACTCTTTTGTACCTTCGTACTTCGTCGTTGAGGCAGAAATGTCGAAATTGTTTTTGATCTGCATTTATTTCATCGAAAGAATGTTCGCGTTTTTCAGTCGCGTTCCGCGGCTAAACAGTGCTATACAGCTCCGCATCCAACTTACAATTAGTCGCTCATGGCCAAAGAGTTAATTTAGTTAATTCAACAACAGAAATCTATTACGTTTTATTAGTTTCTTTTTTAAAGTCTTTTAAAGTTTTTAAAGAATTTACTACATCTACAAAGATTTAAATATTAAGTTTAAGCTTTTCGGTATATAGAAAAGCATAAATAATATAATATTATAAGTAACGTAATATTAAAAAATTAATATTACATAAAAATACTACAAAAGTTGTACAGAAATGCCAATTACTTTGAAAAAAATAAAATTTAGGTAATTGAAATCAACTATTTTATCGATCTTCTTTGCGAAGATAATATCATGAACATCTTCTTAAAACAGCAGTATTGAAGTAGTGCAAACGTAACTTACCAAGATAACGAAACGATAACGGAGTAAATGAATAAGATATAAACGATAAGGTGTTTTTCACCTTTTGAAAAAATCAAGTTCAATCACGTAACATAGATATTCTTTCAAAATATGAAAATATTTTTTCAAAATACATCGTACAGATATATGTATATACGAACATTTTTAAACAAGTTCCATTATGAGACGACTATTTCAGCTTCCGGGCAATCATTTGTATAGGAACGCCAATTAATGACTCATTACATCTCTCAATCGTAATACCTC